TGGTTAAAAACAATGGAGACATTTTCACACAGAACTAAATGTGCCATTTGTCAATTAATGAAGTCAAAGGATTCCTGGATTAGAAATGAATTGTGTTCAGATTTTTCTTTTTTAAAATTACTCATTAAGAGCAGAGAGAAAATACAAATTCAGAATGTCATATATAATAAAACATAGGATTACTTTGCTTATTTCTCACATATTCACAAATTTTAAGAACTTTTTTATACTGGGAGAAAAATCAAAGAAATGGAATCTAAGTTTTAAAAAATCTAAAAATTACTCATCCTCTCCTTGGTCATTGTTTGAGCAGAGTCCTTTATAAACAGGAGGGTTCACAAAGGATGGCAACACTGGGCCTATGATAATCAGATAAGAACCCAAGGAGTGTTACATGCATATGATCTAACATCCGTAGATCCTGTGCTCTATTGACTGACTTAGAATTATGGGCAGAGGAGAACTAAGTGAATATTTTTTGTAACTCTGGTTGATGCTGATCGGAATCTCCCCTTAAAGGTTTGCTGAATTTGAGTCATTGAATTGGAGAAGTGATTAATCCAGCAAGGGATATGGCATCTATCCTTGGCTAACCAAGCACTACCAACACGGTCTGTCCCAGGAGATGGTAGAAAACCTGAAGAGGGTTTGGGCAGTGGTTTAAGCATCTCTGTGGTCTTCTGAACAGCCCGTGCTCTTCAAGGGGAGAGCGAAGCCCTGAATCACCAGGCTCGCCAAGCTCTCTCCTCCTCCCATCCATTTTGCTCTTCGCTCCATCCCAGCACCTAGAACAATGCCTGATGGAAATGAGTGTTTAATACACACTAAAGGAAAAAATCCACAAAGGGTGCTCCAGAAGTCCTTTGGAAGCATAATCCAATGGCCTAGCATTGTGGGGATTTACTCGAAAAGTAATCAGACACAGGAAGCAAAGAACAAATGTTGCCTTTCTTTTTTCTCATTTGATGTGTGAGTGAAGATTCCTTTATACTTCATTCCCCACCCTCTTACATTTGTAGGGAAAGAAGGATGCTTATATGTTTTTGGTTTTAGATAGTATTTAGAGAGTAAGAACTATATCTTTTAGATTAATTTTGCAACCAATTGCTTCATAATACTTTGTTCCCATAATTTTGTTCAGAATAAAGTTGTTTTTTTTTTTTTCTTTTTTTTTTTTTTTTTTTTTGTTTTTTTCTCTTTTTGTGAGACAGAGTCTCACTCTGTTGCCCGGGCTAGAGTGCTGTGGCATCAGCCTAGCTCACAGCAACCTCAAAGTCCTGGACTCAAGTGATCCTCCTGCCTCAGCCTCCCAAGTAGCTGGGACTACAGGCATGTGCCACCATGCCCAGCTAATTTTTTCTGTATATTTTTAGTTAAAAGCTAATTTATGTCTATTTTCAGGAGAGACTGGGATCTCGCTCTTGCTCAGGCTGGTCTCAAACTCCTGAGCTCAAAGGATCCACCTGCCTTGGCCTCCCAGAGTGCTAGGATTACAGGCATGAGCCACTGTGCCCGGCCTAGAAATTATTATTTTTTAAACAGGACAATTGGTTCCATGGCTTAGCTGGTTAAAGCACCTGTCTGGTCAACAGGACAATATTCTGAACCCTATTGTTTCTAATAGTCTTTCAGTGGATTCTTTTGGAACTTTAGATGCAACTCAAAAGAAAAATGTATTGTCATCACCTTCTAATAATGTAAAAACTGTAATACATCATATTTTTAATAGCTTTTAACTGTCTAATGGTAGAAACCTTGACACTTCAACGTGTTGTAACTTTGTTTAGGGCACTGATCACATAATTTAATTCTTTTGAATTCCCACTGCATCCACTACAGAGCTGAATATACACAGATACCCAGGGAAATTTACTGAATTGAATTGAGCACTTCTCAACACTAGTTCCTCAGTTCTTGGGATCTGTTACTCAAAAAAGGGGTTTTGTTGCCAAAGATGGAGAAATTATGATCAAACAAAGCCTTTAAATATGGGATTGTGCTCTGTGAATCTACAAAAAGAGGGCATAGCAAAATGTGCTTCCACAAATCATTTGACCATGATTTTTTTTCCTTTTCATAAAGATTCTCACAATACTAGTGTTCTGAAGAACATTAAGTATTTGTTTTCTGCAGCACATGGCATCTACAATTCAAAAATTAAGTCAGTTAAGTTAATACGTTCAACTAATACATGCAGATTCCTCAGTCAATGTAAGATACTCATGCTCAAGCATTGCACTATGATTTGTGCATTTGAGCCAGCAATTCTAACATTCTTTTTTACAATGCTCTTTTGTGTGTGTCTTTTTAAGAAAAGATGTCAAAGAAGACCTTCATAGCAAATGTTCATGTTTAAAAAAATAGCACAGAAAACATAATAAACTCAGACACTTTGCATAACCTTTCCCGTGATCCATGGCTGCATGCAATTGTTCGTTCTCCTCACTTTTGTCCCTCCAAGCCTGTGTGGGAGGCCCAGATAGGGAACGTTTGTTACATTCAGTGGTCAAATTGACAGACCATGTCTCTCCTGCAGTCACCATCACACCAGCTATGCCTTTCTCTGTAGGTGGTGAACGGAAGGCAACTCAACAAAGGAACAAACTGTCTATTCCTACTGCCAAACTCTGAAATCAAGGAGCCCACGCAAAAAGATAAGAATAAATAAAACTAGAATGAAATAAAATGAGAGACTATAATATTGGAAACAACCAAAATCAATTTCAATAGTAGGGAAATTTATAAATAAATTATGGTAGAATACTCTAAATGTATTAAAAATCCTACTTTCAGAAAAACTTCAGAGTATAGGGGAAAACTCACAATATAACTTAAAATGAAAAAGCTGGGTGCACAACTGTATGTGTATATATATGTATATATACATATATATATATATATACACACACACACACACTAAAAATACTAAAAAATTCAATCGGACATTTGAACTTAGCAAAGACTGAATGGAGTCCATCACAAAGTTTTATTTTTATTCTTTTGGGAAATCTCTTGAGCAGGGCTGTGCAAGTTGATAGGAAGGGCCATGAGGATTAGGAGAAATGGCTATGGAAGGCTGGAAACAAGTAGAACTTAAAGTCGGGAGCTGATGAAATTGAGAGGAAAGAGCTTTTTAATCTGAGGACAGAATCTGAGCTGCATGCAGCATTGGAGCACATGGACTCCTGCTCACTGACTCATCAAAAGACAGAGGCATTTAGCAAGGGGGACTCAGAATGTTGGTGCAACATAAATACCTGTGTGTAATTGGCAGAGTAATGTGTAAATCATGCTATGTTTTTATGAGTTTGTTTCTTTGTTTTGGTGAATCAAGAAATTCCTATATTACTAGAAATTATGCAGGAAATTCCGAAATAGTTCTATATAATATTTTATGAACTGAATATTATCAGTTTCATTGCATATATTTTTATTTCATTAAAAATCTATTCATCTATTATGTACACTTACATATAAAATAGAATTTGACAAAAATATTCTGCACTAGGTATGTGAAACTCATGGAGGCTTATGCTCTCTAAGACATTTTAAATTTTAATCTTGATTGGTTTCCATGTCAGGGAAAGAAAACTTTTATTCAACTATATGGAAGTGCCATATTCTTAGTGCTGAGCTGCTAGTAAATTTTCCTATTTAATGAGGTTAGTGTCACACTGAGATTTAGGAAGTTCCAGCTTGGAAATGTA